CTCTGGGTCCTGGGATCGAGTCCCACATCGGGCTCTCTGCTCAGCAAGAAGCCTTCTTCCTCCTCTCTCTCTCTCTCTGCCTGCCTCTCCATCTACTTGTGATCTCTCTCTGTCAAATAAATAAATAAAATCTTTAAAAAAAAAAAAAAAAAAGAATGGCTTATTCCATTGAGCAGTATGCATTTAAGCTTCCTCCATATCTTTTGGTGGCCTGATAGCTCATTTATTTATAATGGTCCGTATATTGTAATGTATAGATATACCACAGTTTGTTTATCCACTCACCTATTTGAAGGACATCTTGGTACTTCCAGGTTTGGGCAATCATGAATAAAGCTGGCGACATGAGTTGACCTATAAGTTTCATTGCTGGGTCTCATGGTAAACCTGCGTTTAATTTTGTAAGAAGCCACCAGAGTGTCTTCCAAAGTGCATGTGCCATTTTGCATTTCCCCCCAGCAGTGAATGAAAGTTCATATTGTCACACATCCATCAGTGTTTTGGATTTTAGCAATTTCAATAGGTGTGTTGAGGTATTTTTGATAGTATCAGTGTTTATGGACTCTGTCAATGGCAGTTGGGCTTGGAGAAAAATCAGCTAGCCACAAATAAGCAAGCTACAATCAGACCCAATTACCTGAACTGAATGGTAAATTTATATACCAACCATCTCTAAAACTGACTAGCCTTAATCAGGACTTTTTTGGCAAAACGGGAAGAAGCGTTCATTTGTTAATTTGTTTGAAATTATCTACATCCTTCACGAATTGCTGAATTTCCTAAATGGGCAATTTGTGTGCAATAGATAAATATATTTAAAAACCCTGAATTTGACAAAATTGCAAAGCTACTTATAGTTTCCAAGATAATTCAAAATAATTCCATGAAGTGAGAAAACATATTTTATCTGTATTCTAAGTTTAAAGCTAAAATGGTATATCTGTCTACTATCTCTCTCATATAGGTAGTCATTTATTATCTCTTGCAAAATCATGGTAAGATTTTGTTCGGGACTCTTTCTGTTACAGTCTATTTGTAACTTTCTATTTACATTAAATCATAAGGTGTATCTTCATAAATGAATATCACAAGGCACTCTGAGTAAATCAGAGTTACTAGTCTGTCTTTCTGGAAAGTCTACCTAAGAAGTGGAAACATGGCAAAAAATTTAAGAATGTTAAGAAGGCCTCACTCCTTCTCACAACCATCTGTCTATTAAATACAACCTTCTTATGTGGTCACTGACAACGTTAAGAATAACCCACAGAAGGGCACCTGGGTGGCTCAGTGGGTTAAGCCTCTGCCTTCAGCTAAGTTCATGGTCTCAGGGTCCTGGGATCAAGTCCCGCATCAGGCTCTCTGCTCGGCAGGGAGCCTGCTTCCTCCTCTCTCTCTCTTTGCCTGTCTCTCTGACTACTTGTGATCTCTCTCTGTCAAATAAATAAAAAATAAAAATTAAAAATTAAAAAACTTAAAAAAAAAAAAGAATAACCCACAGAAGAGACGTGTAACTATAGCACTATTTAGCGGATTTGATGAGAAGTAACTTCCCTTTGTTTGAATGTCTATGTTTTCTCATACATTGTGCCTTGAGCAGAGGATACAAGATGAGCCAGATCCCCATCCCAGAGTTTTCTCCCAGAAATTTCTCACAGTGACCCCTCTTCTAAAGTTCTAAAGATCTTCTAAATCAACAAGATCATTCGGTAACACTTCTGTGCACTCTCTGACCTTAGGTGGTTCATTTGGGAAGAGTCAAGGTTTGTCACAGTGGTTTGACTTTGGAATTTCACATCGGCACATCGTTCTTCCATGTCTGTTATTTATCCTCCTAGGACATACAGGAATAGCAGAGTATGTTTGGTACTTGACAGAAGTAGCGTAGTCTATCCTACCTCCCCACCCATTTACCCTCTCTGTGCCTCAGTTTTTTGGGTTTTTTTTTTTTAAGATTTAATTAATTAATTTATTTATTTGACAGAGATGACAAGTAGGCAGAGAGGTCAGCAGAGAGAGAGGAGGAAGCAAGCTCCCTGCTGAGCAGAGAGCCCGATGTGGGGCTTGATCCCAGGACCCTGGGATCATGACCTGAGCCAAAGGCAGAGGCTTAACCCACTGAGCCACCCAGGTGCCCCCTGTGCCTCAGTTTCTTTCTTTTTTTTTTTTTTAAAGATGTCATCTATTCATTTGACAGAGAGAGATCACAAGTAGACGGAGAGGCAGGCAGAGAGAGAGAGAGGGAAGCAGGCTTCCTGCCGAGCAGAGAGCCCGATGTGGGACTCGATCCCAGGACCCCGAGATTACGACCTGAGCCAAAGGCAGCAGCTTAACCCACTGAGCCACCCAGGCGCCCCATGTGCCTCAGTTTCTTATCTAAAAAACTAAGGCTATTAAGAGGACCCATATTTTAGAATTTTTGCAAAATTCAAATAAATATCTTAAGTGCTTCAGATAGTTCTGTCACAAAGCAAGTTCTGTATACATGTTGGTAGCTACTGCCTACACAAGCAGGACTTTTTTTCTACTATTAGACTCCTACAGTTCAACACTTGCCCTCCAATCAAAGTGTTGGAGAGAGCAATTATTGATTCATTCACCAAGCCAACACAATTTTATGAGGGGTCACTGGGTGCCCTGCATGAATATAGCACAGCCCTTAAGGAGCAGGGACAGAAAAATGCAGAAGCTGTTAGCTGTAGTGCAGCGTGGTAAGTAATAAACATTCATGAATTAGGACAAAACACTGGGAGCAGAAAGTAGAGGCACAGCAAGGTCATGTGTTACAGAGGAAGTCCTGTTAGTGCTGTCCTAGAAGACACACAAAAGGCAGTGCACCTGAAACTGCTGTAAGTCATTAGACTTCAATGAGTACTGTGAAGTGTGTAAACCTGGCGATTCACAGACCTGTACCCCTGGGGATAAAAATATATTATATGTTTATAAAAAATAAAATTAAAAAAAAAAAAAAAGGTACAATTAAAAAAAAAAAAAGGTACAATTTCTTTAGTGACCAGGCATTAGAATCACCTGTAGGAGGCCCATCTGGGTAGCTTAGCAAGTTAAGTGTCTGCCTTCAGCTCAGGTCATGATCCCAGTATCCTGGGATCCAGCCCCACATTGTGGGGGTGGAGAGGGTCCCTGCTCAGCGGGGAGCCTGCTTCTCCTCCCTCTGCCCCTCCCTGCTGCATGTGCACACTCTCTCTCTTTAGCTCTGTACTCTCTCTCTCAAGAAGTGAATAAGATCTTTAAAAAAAGAAAAAAAAAAAAAGAATCACCTGTAGGGCCTGTTAAAACAGTGCACTATGCTCTACCCCCAGAGTTTCTGATTCAGTATTTTGGGGACTAGGGCTCCCTTGAAAATGTTCAGTCCTCACAAGTTCCAGGTGATAGTGATGATGCTGTTCCAGGGACCACACTTTGAGAACCATATCTTCAAGTAAAGAAAAGGAGTGGAGAAAGAGAACACTGCAAAAATAAATGAATGAATGAATGAATGAATGAATGAATGCATGCATGCATGCCAGGGCAAAGGAAGGAATCTGTTTGACAGACGATATTCTTAAGACATCACTGCCTTATTTAAAAACTCAAATTTGGGGGCACCTGGGTGGCTCAGTCCATTAAGCATCTGCCTTTGGCTTACGTCATGATCCCAGAGTCCTGGAATCAAGCCCCACATCAGGCTCCCTGCCCTGCTTCTCCCTCTGCTGCTGCCCCTGCTTGTGCTCTCTAGGTCTCTGTCAAATGAATGAATAAAATCTTTAAAAATAAATAAATAAAATTTTAAAAATAACTCAAATTTGGTAGAAATGTGCGCATCAGTGTCTGGTACCACTTTAGTTATACTGTACATTAAAACAATGAATAATAGAGTCTCTCCTCCAAAAGAGTCCAAAGAAGGTAGTAAAATTAGAAATAAAATCCAATAATTGTCATAGTCTAACTAATGACACGGCCTGGACCATCTGAATAATATTGAAAGCGTTGGCAGATTTCAAAGGAAAAAGTTTGAGAAAGAGCGCCCTATTTTCTTTTCTGCTCTCCTTCTCCCCACTCTGCACCCGCCCTTCTACGTATAATGCACACTTACTGTGTACACAAGGTACAATGCTAGCACCAGGAAATGAGAGGGAAATAAGACACAGTGGTTAACTGTCCTTAACCGAAGGGGATGCTTTCTGGTGTCTTGATCTGTAGGGTAGAGCAGTTACAATCTGACCTACCTACTTCAAAAAAGTTTAGGAGTATCTAAAACTATAGACCAAAAATGATTCATTTATTTATCTAACAAATAATCACAGAATTTTTTCTCTGTGTCCTTCATGGAAATATTCATAGATCAGTGAATATATGGGTTTAGAGTTCAGAAGAGAGCCCAGAGATAGAAAGACAAAGTTGTAGCTATGATTATATGAGTGTTTACTGGCATCATTGGTTTTAATACTATTTCGCAAGTAGACAGAAGAGAAGCAGCCGAGGATGAAGCCTTAAGTAGTGAAGGTACAGGCTGAGCCATAAAAACAAAGCGGTAGATTGAACAGAAGCAGCCAGAATGAGGAAAGACATCTGGGGAAAGAGTGATGAAAAAGTCAAAGGCAAGGAGGAAGTTTTAAAAGATGGTCAAGTGTGTCACCTGGGTGGCTCAGTCCGTTCGTTCAGCATCTCCCTTCAGCTCAGGTCATGATGCCAGGATCCTGGGATCAAGTCCCACATCTGGATCCCACATCAGAGGGAGCCTGCTTCTCCCTCTGCCTGCTGCTCCCTCTGCTTGTGTTGTCTCTTTCTGTTAAATAAACAAAATCTTAAAAAAATAATAAAATAAAAGGTGGTCGAGTAAGGTGAACTCTACAGAAAGCTCTTTGCATTGTTGCTATAAGAACTGTGGCTTATTGAGATAGGTTTCAGTGGGGTGAGTGGAAACCAGATGGGGGATGCTCAGAGCTGAACTGCTGATGAGGGTCAGGCAAGGACATGGAGCCAAGTCTTAAGTAATCACATTCTCAGAGAAGAAAGAAGTCTGGTTTTTGTTTGGTGTGTTCGCTCATTTGATTTTTTTTTTCTTTGAAAGAGATTTGAATACTATTTAAATACTGATGATAAGATAAAGGAATGGTTGAAGAGACGGAGGAAAGAGGGTAAGGTTGGTGAGAAGGTTGAAGGTGGAAATTTCAGGAAATAGGAAACAGTTGTAGGCTTAGGAAGGAGGATGGTCACACCTAAAATTGAAATAGTCGAACGGCTGGGCTAATTATGACATGTCTGTAAAAATAACTAACCTCACATCTAGCTCATAGAAGGGGCATTAAAAAGGCTTGAAATTATAATGTTATAATGTTATTGAAAACACCTCCCCTTATATTTAAAGTTAGAATGTCAATTTATTACATACTATTTACTTCTTATTTTTCAATGGCTTTCAGAAATATAAGTTCCTTATTTTTGATTGAAGAGTGTCATTTATGAAGGGAGATTAACTCCAGGTTTTGGCAAAGCCCTTGGGCTCCATTTTTAGCCAAAGATACCATTCTAAAGGAGGCTGTTCTTCAGCAAGGATGTTTTTGATGTGTTCGCCTGCAAAAAAAGATTTCCAAGTGTCCTCTGTGAGGAGATCTCTGAATCTGGCTAGAGTGACATAAAACATTTATATTTATTGATAAGAAGAAAAGTCTCATTTTATTATTTTTTAAAAAGTGGTATAAGATAAAAGAGCCAAATTTTTTTTAAAAAAACTGATTTTTTTATTTGTCATAGGATCCTAGAGCTATCAGGATTTAAGTGAGTCATTCACGCAGTGCCCTGGCTTGAGCAAGCATTTCTGTTCTGAAACTATCCCAAACCAGTTGTGGTACAAAAAGACTCCCAAGAATAATGTACAACTTCTTCCTTTTTACCAAATGATCTAAAATGTTCAAATAAGCTCATTTCTTACTTTATCTTTTCTGAGAAGAATTAGAACTGCTCATTACACCCTTTTAAATCCCCCCTTCCAATTTTTGTTTAGTATCTTAGACTTTTTCCTCTTGGGAATCTGAAACTTAGGTACTATATCTCATAAAAGTATATCATCAAAAAAATAGGAAAGGTTTTGAGTACTTTTGTCAATTTATGACGTTTTTGCCAATTTCACATTACCTGCAATGACTGAATCACAATTAAAAAGTGAATACAATAATGTACAGTGTAATCATATATGCAAAACGATCAGAGGCATTCTCTCCATCATACTCTGATAAGGAATGGTTGGCATTTCATGAAATCTTCACGGTAAAATTTTAATTGGAAAAAACTTACGATTTTTAAGTGCTCAATCTCAGTTCTCATGTTACTTATCAGCATAATTTTATATTTTTAATTTGATAATTGGGGATCAAAAAATCTTTAAATAGTAATTAAGAACAAATGTTCCCAAAGACAGATGAAGACAGAGTAAACTAAATTAGAGAAAGAAACAAAAACAAAATCCAAATAAAGATTAAAACTTTATAGTAAAATTAAAAGTAATTGTGCCATAAAAAGTGAACAGAGATGACAATGTCCTCTCTCATTCACCGAGACTAAAACCACAGAGAGACCATTCTAACTAAGCTTTGGGAGATGTAAAACTGTAAGAGCTACCATCTCTTCTAGTCATCTCTTCATGGGCAAGATGCGTTATAAATATTGTTGCTAATTTAAGAGAACTCTCCAATCGAGGGTGTTGTTTTCTCATTTGATGGAAAAATAAGCTTTTAGTTCAGAAAGGTTTGAAAACTTGTTTTGAGCCACATTCTTGGTAAGTAGCAGAGCAAAATAATTCCAATAGAGATTTCTAAAATTGCTGTCATCATGCCTTTACAAAGTCATGGGTTTTAAACTATGTCCTGTTAGCTCTTGGATGAAAAGGCAGAGGGTCTTAATTTGGTTGGGGGAAATCAAGAACATTAACAAAGATTCTGGCTTAAGAGGTACTCGGATCAGCCCCACGTGTATGCAGAGAAGGTGATTACTTGCAAGGTAAATATTTGAGGAATGTTAGGAGAATCAATACACAAGAACAGCCCCACTCTCAGGAGATGACATCTTTACCATTAAAATCTCTTGTTGGTACTAAAACATGATCTTCTGGGTGTACCTTTGAAAGTGGAGCTGTGGATAAATCGTCACCAATAGCATAGATCAAGGTCTTCACAGTGTTTCCGGTACTTATCTGAAGTCCTGACCCTCATATAAAAGGATAGCATTTGGGAGCACCTGTGTGGCTCAGTTGGTTAAGAGTATGCTTTCCGCTCAGGGTCTGGGATTCAGCCCCGCATGGCTCCCCCTGCTCAGAGGGGAGCCTGCTTTTCCCTCTCCCTCTGCCTGCTGCTCTCCCTGCTTGTGCTCTCCATTTCTCTGTCAAATAAATAAAGTCTTTAAAAAAATAAATAAATAAAGGAGAGCATTTGTACCACAGCCTTCTGTAAACAGATGGGATTTTCAAAGCCAAAGACTGTAGCCTATAGGTTTAGATGCCCTTGAGACCTTCCAAGCTTCCCCCAGGATGAGGTCATCAAGATCTTAGCATTCCAGAAATTCATTCACAGCCCATCTTTGGGATTCTCCCCTCTAAAGAAATGGAAAACCAGATAAAGTATAATGGGAAATACAGAATCAAGGTTTCAGATGAGATGCAGGAAACGAAGCTTCCTGGAGGAGGGAGAAGAACAAAGTCAAAGGAAGAAGAAAAACAAGATGAATAAGCCCCAAAAGTGCCTACCTCAGTTTTGTCTGCTTTAGGAAAATGGGATATCTAATGCCCTCGTAAATAATTTGAGCTAATGGATGTAAGGGACTTAACCCAGAACAGCGACAGGTTTCTCATAGGACTTTAAATTGATCTGAAACTAATGATATACTATCTGTCAACGAAGTGAATTTAAATAAGTTAAAAAGTTTTTTCAATAGTGAAAATAATAGCCATTATTATTATTATCAACATCAATATTATTACACTTGAATCTTTACAGGTTGTGGTAAGTTGATTCTAGGTTACCTTGTGATTGATGCTCTGTCTACATTTAAAGCAATTCATTTTTTTCTCCATTTACAGCAATTAATTTTTTAAATAATTGTCCTAATTACAAAAAAAAAAAAAAAAACCCAAATCATTGCTTTTTTGTTTGTTTGTTTTCAAGGATATCCTGGACCAAAAGGCCAGAAGGGGGACAAAGGGAGTGGAAGCATACTAAGTAAGTTTATGGGTCCTTGTTTTTATGTGTGCCTTGTCAACAACAAGCTTGCCATCATAGTGGTCTGAGCTCAAGGCGAATGTGGGGAACTTCAGCATCAACCCAGAGAGTTTCTGTGGAAGTCAGCCACAGTTTTCTCCAAAAAAGCATGCTAATTGGAGTAAAACAAATAGATTAAATTATACAACTCTGAGTCTCATGACCCATTTGTATTTTGTTTTCATGATGAGCACAGTTTTCTAAAAATTCCACATAGAAAATTGTTCAATTTTCAAGCTACTTTCAGTCTGCTGAAGGAAAATCAAGTTTATGAATAGAAACAATTACATCCTCCTTACCTACTGACTGAGGAACTGAAAGCCTCCAGCTAGGAATTTGGACGATCTGAAGAATCCAGGCCAACCAATTCTCTGATGCCTGGGGTTTTTGTGTTTTGCTTTGTTATACTAAAAACTTGAAAAGTTGTGTACTATATCCTAGACCTTCAAAATTGCAACAGAATAGATTTGACACAGGGAACTCTGTTGATCAGATGCTGACCTCATAAACTGACCCTTAAAAACAAAATATTAGATGAGATGTCTTTACCATGCCACACTCTAAGTCAGTTGTTGTGTATCGAGGCTGAATCCACACAGATCAAGGGAAAGGATTATGAAAAGGAACTGAGAAATCCCCCCTTCTGTGTTCCTGGTAGGAGCTGTGTATGATATATGTGTGTGGGTGTCTGTGGGGATAGCAGCCACTACACACACACATACCCCCCCGTGATGATAATCTCTACCCAAACAGGGTCTGCTTTAGATAGATTATCGCTAATCCTTTAATGTACCAAAACTCTAGCATTTTTTAGTTGTAGTTATTATTTTAAAAATAGAGTACCAATTTCTCTCCCTTAGAACAGAAGGAATTATTTTTACCTGTGCTGTGTATGGATAGGGCCCTTAGACAATTTAGGATCACCACCGTGAATCCCAGCCATTCAGGTATATAATGTAACTACCTGATGCTTTTCACAATTGTTTTGTTGTTGATGTCGCTTCCCCCTGAATTGACAACATGGAATATTGTGTGTCTCCTCACAGTGCTTTAGTGTCATTCCACGATTATTAGTGTTGTTACCATTATAGTAAGATAATGGAAACATTAGTAGACCTTTCATCCTTTGTGTCCATTTCTTCTTTAATGTGATCACTTTTGTCTAGTGTAATACTTTCTGCCCTACCTAGACTCCTTTCTCCTTGTCACTCTAGTTATTTTCACTTGAGCTCCTTGTGTAACTCTTTTCTCTAGCTTTCTGTTTATCTGTCTTTATCTCTGCCTTTATCTTTATCTTTGGAGCGGTTTTTATCTTTTTCTCTTTTTGCTGAGACTTTCCTGAGCTACTTAACCTTGACTCTGGGTAAGCTTGGCCAGTAAAGAACTTCTCTGTTTTGCAGTCTTTAAACCAAACACCCACCCAGTCTTCTGGTACCTGAGGTTATCAAATGCTTTGAACACTTTTTTTTTTTTTTTTGATCTGTTCAGAAATGGTTTCAGTTATAGCTATTTTCATAGCTCTTTTGAACTTTATGCTCATACTTTGTGAAAGCAACAATATATTTCTGTGTATAAATGTGTTTATGGCCTCCAGCTTTCCCTCCGTACACCGCCCCCATAGAGTAGATATAACTCCATTATGTTCCAAAAAGAAAGAATCATAGGTACAAACATCTGTACAGTATATTCTGCTTTTACCTCACTGAGGTTAATGTGTCAGTCACTTGCCCATGTCGGGACATGTGGCTCTAGCTCTTCTCCCTCAGTGACTGTGCAGTACTCCATCATATCGCTATCCCATAATACATCATTCTGTTCCCTAGTCATGAACACTTGATTTTTGTTGGCCGTGGTTTGGCTTTAATCAGCAGTGCTACATTCCGCAGTCTCATACATGACCTTGTGGAACCATTTTATAATAGGAAATTTGCTAGGAGTAGAACAAGTCAATAGTTCAAAGGCGGTGTGCATTTCACAAGTTGATGGTTTCTTGTGAATGGCTCCAGAAAGGCTGTACCAATGTATTGTGCATGAAAGTGCCTGATTCTCCCCATCTTCAGTTAGTTCTGATAAATGATTTATATGGAGTTATTTTAATATACATTTATTTTTCAGGCATGATTTAAATATAAAAAGAATAATCACTGATTTCCTCTTTTACATCTGTGTCAGGACCGGTACAACTCCCTGATCGTATGTGGGCAGGGCCCTTTTAAGATCAGGTGGGTTGGACAAGATACCCTCTGCTACCATCTCATTAAAAGACCCTTCACCTCCGGACAAGTCATCAGCACAACCGAATCCAAGATCCCTTTGTGGCTCCTCCAAATGACTCTGGTTCCTGTGTGGTGTGCAACTTCCACATGGCTTTCTCTGGTCCTTTGTGCTCTTCGGGTCTCTGTTCCCATGTTCCTACCTCTCCCCACTACAGCACGCCACCATCACCACCATCTCGTAGCACCCTTAGCTGGGATGCCTCGCCTGTACTGACTGGTGGGCTGTTCATGCTAGTTCTCAGAGCCAGGCCAGAAGCCCTCTGCCATTCACTCACTTCATGTCTTTCTGAACCCAATTTAACCCATTGGGTTCTAGGAGACATGGCTACTGATTCTATGTGGGTTCTTGACATTCAAAAACAGTACTCTCAGTAAGTGATAGGGATACATAAAAGAAAATGCATTTGTTAATTCACTCATTCATTCATTTATGTTCATTGCATACTTCCTGGAGCTGGACATAGGAGCTAATAAGATGACCATAGCTTCTCATCTTACAGAGCTAATTGTCCCTGGAAGCCCTAGACATGTAAACGGGCAATTCTACAATACAGCAGAACTATTTGAGGGGAGGAATAGGGCTCTACAGGTGTTCAGAGGAGATCAAGATTATTAAATTCCTTAAAATATCAAAAAGTAGATTGATTTTGATTAGCTTAGTTTACTTTCTTGTCTTCTTATTCTACAAATTACACCTTTATTTTTTCAAGTTTATAGTGAAGTAAAGTGGAGCTTAGACAGTTTATTGAACACATTTAGACCAAAAAAAAAAAAAAAAAGCAGAACTTGTTTCCTTAAATGACCTGGCTATCTCAAGCAAGAATATTTTGGTCATGAAAAAATAATGCTGAAATTTTTTGTTCTAAAAAGCCTCTTGTACGACTACACTTTAAATATTAATTATAGATCCTTAAGAAGAAGAAATATTTCAGTAGACCTGGAGATATTTTGTGTGGGTGAAGAAAGGGATAAAAATGAGAAAGGGGAAAAGGTAAGAAAAGACAGCCCCCCCCCCCAAAAAAGGAACAGGGAAGATATAGTGTAGAGTGGTATGTGTGTAGGTCTGTGTATTAATTAATTCACAGATCACATTTTCACACCTCTCATTTCTCTCAAGGTTTACAAATAATCCCGAGCTTTGCAGTCTTGAGTTACTAGTAAATTCTAAGTCGTGGGTCTGTGTGTCTCTCAGCCCTTCCATTCCCTCTCCTATAAAATGGACATCGTAACACCTACCTCACAGGGTTGTTGTGAGGATCACAGAAGGTATTGTGTGGGCAGAGATGCTCTGTAAAACCATTTATAAAGTGCTTTAAACACATAAGGTATGCTTCACAATGGTCTCTCTGAACTGGAACCGCTCTTCCCTGCTGGTATCGTGCAGACATGTAAAATCTGTAATCAGAGCAGGAGGGAAAGCAAAATGAAAATGCGAGAAGCCAAATAAATGTCACGGACAAAAAGAGAGATGCTAGAGAATAAGATAAGATTTTACCTTAGATAGAGCAACGCCAGTGTGACCAGATCGCAAATCAGTGAGTTTGTCTGAGCCGTGCCGGAGAACGTAAGTTATAAATAAAGAAGTGACTCAACAGAGTGCATGCCAGAGGCCAGAAGCTGTCACTAGAGGTCAGAACAAAATGTCAGCCCCATAAAACAGGAGTCCAGGCTCTGAAGAATGAAGCAGGAGCCCAAGACTGTGCTGAGAAAACTCCAACAAAGGTTGAAATGAATTAGTTTCAGGGGTACTCTGGGTCTGTATCTCCAAGATGACAGAATCGCCAAGAAAAAAAATAAATTAATTTAAAAAAAAGGAAGTAGAAGAATCAGCCAGTCTTCAGATGGTCATTATTAGAAAACCGGCAATGTGGACTGACCTATGAATGCAAACATGTGGAAGTGAGTTGGATCTCTTTGTCCATGGTTTAATCAGGTGTGCCTTCTCACCCTGCTCTGCATTGGGGGAACAGCTAAAACCCAGGGAGCCTTTTCTCCTGCCAGCAGGCCTTCGTTGACATCGGCCGCAGCATGACCCTGATTGCAGAGATCGTGAGAGGCAATTCCAGGGGATTCGGTTCACAAGGTGTCTGATACCCCAGACCACAGAAGACAGGAGAAGGGCTTCTCTTCTCTCTCTAGACAAAAATAGAGGCTGAATGCCCAGTTCAAATGCACAAGTTAGACCAACGTGAGTAATGTGCAGTGGAGAGAAGTGTGCCCCAAGCTCACATGCTTGTTACAAGGGTTCGTCTGTTGTCACCCAACTTGGAAGGGAAGGTGTTTTAGTCAAGCAGAAACAATTCCTACTGTGCAATTAAACACTGTGTGTGAGGCTCTGTCCTACACATACCAATTCACAATGCGTCATTGGTTAGTATGTCTTCCTGGGCTGCGTTCATGCGGATAATTAGAATGTGAATTTAAAGTGTCTTATTTCAAAACTCATACAGTGATATGAAGTATCAGCTTATCTTCCAATTGATTTCTGCTGAGGACTCAGCACAATCTTAAGTGATTTCTGGTCTTCCTCAAAGCATTCAATTGGCCAAAGTCATACCTTCTTCTCCAAACACTAAATAATTACAAGAGTGAACGCTTAGAGAACACTGGCCGTGCCCCCGGGGCTTTTGGCTCATTCTCTCATTTAAACCTCAGAAGAGACTTCGAGGTAGCTACTATGATTAT